TTGTCTCCAAACGTCAACAAATAGGTGTAGCATTACTGTTAACGGAATATTTCGTATTCACGTTACGTCCAATGTTAGAAGGCTGAATAAAAACCCTATTAAACCCGTTATTAATTTTTGAGTAGTATTTCTTGTTGTTGTAAAATTGCGTTTTTATTTTCTGCAGAGCATTGTCGCTTCAACATCGCCTGACTCTCCTAGGATCCATCATTGTCAAAAAACTCTATATCGTCGAGTTAAGAGGTGAGTAAAAACAACCATGGACCGAAGACACACAATGATCGCACATCACAGAAAACTATGATGTTATTAAAAAACATTTGACAAATAACACTGTCACCAACAGTAACCTGGGACTACAACTATCAACCTTAATCGTTCATTGAGTCATGTATTTGAACATGTAATATTAATTCATTTTTGGAAACGAAATCACTTTAGAATCAATATTGATAGTTATTGAAGAGTATATTACTCTTTTCAAATACCTACATAAATTGACTATAATTGATTTGATTTGCTGTAATTTGAAAATTATTTTTTACTATTTATTCGCCATGCATTATTTTTAAGATAATTTATTAACAAAAACGTATCAGTGATCACACGTGTCGCTTTATTGATAGCCAATTGCATGTTGTAGCAACAACCCAGTAGCAGGTGAAATCATTAACAGGGAAAAAACGCGCATATGTTACGATGCATGAAATATGTTTATTACTGTATGCAGATGATAGCGCATTAAAAATCTCTCAATAAAAATTAATGGGGTTGTCATTGTTCTTTCAAAGGTATACATATTTTTCAATAAAATATATATAATTTATATTCTTATTTTGTAGCTGAATGACAAATTGCTGATGAATCCAAATTGCGTTTGGATAAAACGGTTATTGTCTGCGATCAAAAACGATTTTAATACAAACATTGGCATAGCTTTCGTAGAAGCGGCGCAGCGTCGGTGGAGCAATTGTCGCAGAAGCTGAAGTTTATGACTGAATCTTACTATATGTTTTAATGTTCTACGGGAAATACACAGAGAGACTGGAGCCCACATTATCATTTACTCTCCCAACTTATTTCACGCACACAATAAAATTAATTGCTTTTTATGAAACGCTTATGTACAGTTTGATAAAGGAACACCACTTTTGCCTAATTTTGGCTAAAACACGTAAACATGTGTGCAAACAATCCCAAAAAACACCGCCATCACCACCTATCTCTATCTATGAAACTTGCACAAAACAACCATATTTTGGAACTTTTGGAAATAAATTGTTATTGTCTGTTAATAAAATAAATAACAAAAAAGTTATAACAACGCAGACGGAGTTGGATTCGATTGAAAAACAGTGTGGTGGACGCGACAGCATTCATTCTATTTAAGGATTTAATTTGAACATATAAGTTAACGTACCTTATATCATTGAGAGACAACCTTGGTCTTACTTTGACCTCATGTAAAAAGTGTTTATTTCGTGTTTAAAAACAACTATAATTATAATATACAAATTATATTTATAGAAATTTGCCCTGGAACATAAATTATTTGAGTACCATTTATGAATTATAAAATTGAGCTCAGCATTTTTATGCAAAATGGTTCAAATTATTTAAATTTTATACCTTTTCATTGTCACTTGGTTTGCAATAAGTACATTTAAATGCTTCCCTTATCTACAAATTGTTATCATTCTATCTGTGAGCTTGAAATAAAGATAATATTTTATTTGGAGTTTTAACAAGTCATATAAACTGCATATGCATAAAACTGTTTTATTCTGCTTTATGTTGTTATGGACCAGCAACTTCTGTCCATTATGCGATGACAAAAAATATTGAAATTCAAGAACTTAAAGGAATTGTAACCCGCATGGAGGAGACGATGGAACTTCAAGGAAACGCAATTTCTAAATACCATCAGCAAATGGAAGAAGCTAATGAAAAGATTAATCATCTCACTGAACAAGTATCTGCATTTCAAAAAGGCAATAGAGGTAATTTGATTTATATCCCTTTTAAATAAGTAAGAGTAAGAACAGTTCTACAAAAAAATGATATGTTTTAATTTACATAGCATATATAGACTCACTAATAATCGCACTTTCTTTTTCCCCAGACTTTTTTGTGATGCTATTTACTTACACATATCTACATGCATGCATATTTTTTTATTGTTTCCAACTACTGTCAAACCGGCTATGAGTTAATTACAAATAATTAGTTTGTCTTTTTAAATTGAAAAAACATTTACATGCATGAATTAATGACTTTAATTAAATTTGCCATTTCAGGTAAAAGGCAAACGGAACGGGTAGCCTTTACTGCGTATTTGGATCACGGTCAAGCAGTTCACAGTGCGAAATGTTAACTAAAATCAACCATGATATGCAAACTTCCGGACAATGCTTACAACGTCCAATACGGTCAATCTTCACTGTACCAATAACTGGCACATTACCTATTTTCGTCTTCAAGTTGAAGACTGCCGTCAGACACGGGTTCAATTTGAAATTCTACTGTTGATGGTTGGACGCGTCAGAACATGGATAGACGCTATGATTATTGGCAAACACTGGAATACACAGCAGTTTGGTAACACAAGCTATTTTAGGTCTAACGTAGGAAATTCCTGTTTGCATTTGAATCTGTGAGGGATATGCGTTTGGCGACAAGTAACTTTCGTGGGACAACATTTTGTGGTGCATTTCTGTATTGATTTATTTGATTAGATAAATGTATCACTACAAATGAGAGGTAATAAAATGTCCACCCACTTCTAATTATATTTGATAGGTGAAAGTTATCTATATCAAAGCAGCTTCATCTGCATTTCAGTAATTTGCTATATAAACTTCATTTTCAAAAGTAACGACATAATTAAGGTTTGCGCCAAAAACGTGAAGAATTAAAAAAAAACTTCCACAGAAGAGCATGCATGTCCTTAGAACCACCTTCGTTAGTTGACCATTCTACAAATTATGAGTCTGTTCAGCCAATTGGAACAGCCCGGCTTTCTCACCGTAAGATAGACTGCTTGAGGCCGCCCGAGGGGTGCCATTTGCATTTCTGCATCTATGAAATATCATATTATAAAATCGGTCGGTCTTGCAGTCGAAATATTGAGACTACTTTTGAGCAAGATCAACACCATAGTCGCAGTAAATAATATTTGAAGGAAAGTCATAATCAGTGGGATTTTCACTTCGAGCTGTTTTGTCTAGTAATAAGAAAAGCGACATAACTTCTGAGTGTTTATTTAACAAGAAAATTAAATGCTAAAATATATACGGTTAAGACATGATTTTGTTGTTTGAAAGTTGTTGAACAGTGAGGCTAAAAATAAATAATACAATATAAAATGCCACAGAGTGTTCACGTTAATGGTGGATTAGTATTTTTGTTATTATTGAATTGTTTAACAGAATAACGTACATAATACACGTTGAAAAAAGTATAGGTGTTAACATTATTCTTGATAGCTGGATGGTCGCACAGCAACACCATTGCGTTATTTTCCTGTGACAATTCCTAAACCCAGAAACAATTATCTGTAAGATGGCGCCGTCTTATAAATGAGACGCCTGAACGTTCAAAAATTGCGCCGACGGTCTGTAAATATATAAATACATAATTAGATGAGTGTGGTTATAGTTTGGCACAACTTTTGAATGTGTAGAGGTTCCCTAATTATATTCCTTTTAATGTGGTAAGAAATCCCCAACTTTTTAAAACAGAAAATCGATTGGTATCAAGGGAAGAAACTTAGTGAAATTTGCACAGAGTCTTATACACAAATGTGGGTCTTGTACATTAAGTGAAAAAAAATGTACTGAAAACCTTCAAAAACAAAAAGTTTTTCATCATAATTATAGCAGTGTCATGCCACAAGATGAATATCGCTATTAGCCATATAAAAGCTATTACTTTTGCTTGTGAAAAGCTCAAAACACACCCAACATCTTTAAAGGCACTTTATGCCTCAGATATTTTTACTCCTTTCCGCAAACGTGAATTTTATCATGTTTAAACAATGGTTTTAAAAATATTAGATGATTGTAATCTGAAGAAAGTAGCGATAAATGTGAAACAATTTGTGGTAAAATTAGCGAAATGTAAACAAAGTAGTATTTTGACTTCCATATAAATACTAATTCCCTATAACTATGTAAAAAGCAAAAAAATAAAATATGAAGAAGATAGTTTAGTTAATTGGCCAATGAGTAATCTTTTTGATGCTATAAAAGAACGCTAACATTAAAAGGGCTTTTGAGAAAGTTTTTTTTTTATTTTATTTTTTAATTAATACTATGCATGTTTCACGTCAGGGTCCCTTTTTCGAAGTATCTAAATTATTTACGAAATGTATTAGAATTATAATAACTGGCATGTATGTAGTCATAAATATACTTGATAAAGATTGATGAACATTATTATTAGAAAGAAAGAAAGAAAGAAAGAAAGAAAGAAAGAAACGTGTTTCTGGAGAGAGAGAAAAAAACTGGTTGTTTTTATTTATTACTTATAATTGAAATTTTGAGAAATATTGATGAAATAAAATGCGTATTTTTATTGTTCGTATTTTCACTATAAAAATTTGTTTTTCACTGCAGTGAAACATATTTTACGTATTTTCACTGGGGTCTTGACGGAATACTTCCTTCTAAATTCAGCCAATACACACAATTAAAAGTGAATTATTCCTATTCATCAGGTTAAAGAAAAAAGAAAAAGTATATAATAAAAAGAAAATTAAAGTTTTTCTATTAATACAGGATTTATTTTAATGTTGTCGTAGGAAAATTATCATACTTCTCTCGCGGCTACTGGGCTACTCCCACTCGTGAAACATTTATTATCATACCACTCGATGAAAATAAATCCTGTATTTATAGAAGAAACTTGAATATCCTCTATTTATTAATCATTCTGTTAGGAAAAAAACAAGAACAACAACAAACAAACAAAAAAATATAATGTCCAAAAAAGCACAATACCTTTCTTCATGTTTTGTAAGATTTGTTAATCCATTTAACGCCAATCCCAATTCGTCCATAACAATATGATCACGTGGTGAACCATTGTCATCAAAGCAAGCATGCTGCAGAAGAACTAAGAGTTGTCTCAAGGTCTCTCTGTATTCCACTCCATCCAATGAATTACATAAGATCAGCTAAAATGTAATATTGTTAATATTTTGCTATTTTTGTTTATTTTAGACATACAATTTCTGAACCATTGTATTATAGGCTACCAGTCGATGAACATGCTAAAGTGCTTGACGTTGCTTTTGGTTTATATAAAGTGAATGTTAAATGGCACAATAAGAACATAAATGTGTTTTGAATTATATTCCATAGACTTACTGCTAAATGTTAAATGATACCCAAAAAAACACCAAGGTTTATTAAGGCTTATTGCTTAAATGATTTACAATGCAAAGTTTTTTTTAGTTCTTAAATGCATTTCTAACAGAGCCACACATATTTTACAAATAAGACCAGAACAAACAGACCATTAGATGAATGCAACATTCTACCATGTAAGTTCAAATTCTTAAAACAACAACAACAACATTAATCTATTATTTAAGAAAAAGACAAATAAAATAATTACTAGAGTTTCTAATCTTGCAAATAAAATGTCTTCTGCTTCGCTGTTGATTTCTGCCACATCGTATGCTGTATAATCATCCGTTTCAGGATAACCATAATGTTTTATAAAATCTCTGACCAACAAAACTCGATCAATATCACCTTGAAGCTGGTGAACTTTTCTTGACACGGCTATAATTAACAAATATATACACATGTGTCCAGGTATCACATAAGGAGACTCAAATGTTTATCAAATCAAAACAAATTAATAAAAGGGACTCCACCGAGATTTTCTTTTTGACATGACGGGACTTGAAATAGTTTTGGCGTTAATGTTCCATTTGATGTAGGTCATTTTTCCAGAATATCTATTCAAAATGCGAAAAATGACCCAAAACTGAAAAGCGTTGCAATTATGTTTTTCACTCAAATTGGGCTAAAATAGCACACAATTACGATTTTCAATTTACATCTGAGTATATTTCGCAATTATCTTTTGCATATCTTTCTGCCTAATCTGATCTATGTAAGAAACTCAAATTTCATGTTCTCGGTGAAGTTCCTTTAATGCTGCACTTATTTTTTAAAGATGTGACAGACATATTATTGATTATAAATTCATTAAGCAGCCAGTGATTTATTTGTCATTCAAACAGTGATTGATCGTTCCAACTGAATAAAAATTTCTTTTACGTTTAGAAATATAAAACAATAAAAAACAAAACAAATAATTTGAATAAAGTCGTATTATGTGACAAACCTTTACGTATGAAAGTTTTAAACTCATTTTCAAATGACTCGATGCAGTATTCATCTGTTCCACCGACACGTTTCTCATAGTCATCATCTATGCTATTTAGTGGCTGAGTTTCTAAATTCTTATCGGCATATTCTTGACTTCCATATACCCCTTCCTTTTCCTGTTGATTCCAATAGGATTGTACTTGTCCTAATATTTGACAAACAAAATCTCGGCTCGTTTTTACTTCCTCTGTATGAAATTTGTTATTATTTTGAATGGTTTGTTTACTTATGTCTTCCAAATATTTAAGATGTCGGCGTTGTCTTGTTGCAAAATCTGATTTGGTTATCTTTGTATCAGTTTCACTGTCCGAATCATATTCCATCTGTCTTGTTGGTATTAAACTTCCGTTATTGCTGTTGTATTTAAGCTCATCTTTAGAAAATCTCACAATCTTAATCTTTGATGGCAAAACCGGTATTTTTTTTCTTTGATGAAAATCATCTTGTCTATTTGTCTCATGGAAACGTGCATAGTCTGGCTGCTGTAGCTTCGTTACGGTATATTTTACGTTATTATCTGCAGGTGCAGAATGTACTCGAGTTTGCTGTTTACCAGGTTTTGTGTTGCGACTGTCATGGTGTTTAGAATATTTCCTTGACCCGATGCCTCTTAACCTCTGATTCTCGTTATTCTTTTCTTGACTGTTATATGTTTGATTGATCTCCTCATTAGTGTCAATGGTATGTAAATTTCTCTCTTCAACTGCTACTTTTGTTTGGACGAGCTCAGGTTCTAACGGTATTATTTTCCAATGGTCAACTTTATCGTATATGTCTTTTGCTGGTGCTAGAGGTAGATCCATGTTGCAATCGCCGGTATTCGGATTTTTCAGCATTTGAATGTGTTGTTCAAGAAGATTAAGAAACTTCTGACGTTTTGTTTTGGGACTACTACTTTTACTAGTATCTTGATTGTTTACACAAACACTCAACTCTTCAGGAGATATTTTTGTATTCGGTTGGGATGTGAAAGACTTTTCCAATCTACTAGAAGATAAATGTGGAGCTTGGTCTGAAATATTGCTTTTGTCAGGAAGAAGTGCAGCTTTATCCATTTGATATTCATAAGTTTCTTTGTCTGACTCTTCGCTATTTTTTACTAAATTGATATTTTCTACTAGAGATCTTAGCAGTTTTACAGTTTCCGGTGTTCGTATAAAATCTTCTATTTTCTGTGTTTCGTACGGTACGTGTGATTCTTCGTTACCATCTGATTTTATCTTGGATTTGTTCTCTACTTTTTCATAAGCTTTGAATTCAGCGGTAGAAGATGGTAATCGTTGACAGTTTGTTTTGACTTCATTTTCATTATTTTTATATTGATGTGATTGCTTTGATATGCTTGTACCAACTAGATGTTGATTATCTCTAGAGACCTTTTCCGGTCTATGGAATTCAATGGGTAACTTTGTAAAACTCCGATTCTCATCTCGTCTCATTACTTGATTTTGAACCATTTCAACCTGTGTATATTTAGTAGATACACTTTTTGTTCCGCTTTTAACTGGTGTTGATAAATCACTTACTGTAGGTGTTTTGCTTTTCTTTCCATCTTCAACCAGCTCATTTAACTTTTTGAATATATTTTCTTTATGGTGAGGAGTTAAAGATTCTCTGCTAATGACAGTTGTTTGATCATTTTGTAACCGTCCTCTTGGGTTCACTTTTTCATTTGTCATTGGAATCATCGTTGCGCCGTTTCTCTCAGCTTTGACTTGATGATTCATCTCATGATGTTTGCGATATCTTCTCCGTCTAGCTTCACGCTTTTCTTTAATAGACCACGTTGGGGGTTCCGTTTTGTTACTTGGTACTTGATAGTGTCTTTCTGTCGCTTCTTCTTTAGTCGACATTGATGGAGCTGTAAAGGAAATCGTCGGACTTACAATTGTTTGACCCGGAAAAGTATATCGTTCTTGCTTTGTTTCTTGTACTTCACTAGTCGGCAACAATGGAGCCTCAGTTTTGTGAACTGGTATTTCATTTCGTCCTTTTATCAATTCTGACTCTTTTTTAGTCGACATATTTGGAAAATCACTTTTATGAGGTGTCACTTGGCATTGTTCTCTTATCTCAACTGGTTCTTCATTGGTCGATAACACCGGAGTCTCACCTTTGCAAACTGGTAATTTATATTGCCTTTGAATAGTTAATGGCTTTTCTTTAATCAACGCAGATGGAGCTTCTTTCTCGTAAACTGGTAATGTATATCGTTCGCCTAACTGTTTTTTAGACAACACACCTGGAGCCTCACTTTTATGAGCTGGAACTCCATATTGCTCTCTTTTCGCTACTGGTTCCTCATTTGATACCATCAAATCATTACTTTTATAAACTGGTAATTGATATCGTCCTTGTTTATCCGATGTTTTCTCTCTAGTTGAATCTGTTCGAACTTCATTTATTTGACCTGGTATTTGATACTTTTCTCGTTTTGCAACTAAATTTTCTTTCATCAATTCTCTTTCAGTCTCACTTTTGTTATCTTGCACTTGACATCTTTCTCTTATCAATGGTTTGATATTTTCAGTTTTAATCAATGCCAGCTTGCCGTTATTATTTTGTTCATGTAAGACATCCTCTGTCTTACCTATAGTATGATCAAACAGTTTATGATGTCCGTTCGTCTCTACTTTTTCAACATCATAATACTCTATTGCAGACATGTTATTATTATCACTGAATGATTTCTTTGTCGAAAGTGTCTGTTTAATCTGAAACATTCTTGGTGATACACTTTCATTGTAATCCTCTAAATGTTCAACCATATTCTTCAATTTTCTTCCTAAAGAACTGCCTAGACCGATTTGTCTATCAACTGAGCTATATTTATTTACGCCCATAACTGTAGATGTATCTTCTTTTGGACGCCCAAACTCATTATTTCCTTTCACATTTTGCAGATATTCTTGACATTTAGCTTTTGTTTGTTGCTTGTCAGGATTGATATTGATATTGCTCTTATCTATTTCTGACAAAAGACTGATTACTTTACTTCTTGGCGATTCAAACTTCCCTTGAGTCTTTACTTTTGGCGTTTTAATGCTGCCTCTCTTATTTCTAGTCAACGAATCTTCTATTATACATTCTCTTTCCTCTGTAGGACTTGTGATGTTTAAACTATTTGTAGACGTAGGACTTGTGATTTGTCTATCAACTGAGCTATATTTACTTACGCCAATAACTGTAGATGTATCTTCGTTTGGACGCACAAACTTATTATTTCCTTTCACATTTTGCAGATATTCTTGACATTTAACTTTTGTTTGTTGCTTGTCAGGATTGATATTGCTCTTATCTATTTCTGACAAAAGACGGATTGCTTTACTTCTTGGCGATTCAAACTTCCCTCGAGTCTTTTCTTTTGGCGTTTCAATGCTGCCTCTTTTATTTTTAGTCAACGAATCTTCTATTATACATTCTCTTTCCTCTGTAGGACTTGTGATGTTTAAACTATTTGTAGACGTAGGACTTGTGATTTGTCTATTAACTGAGCTATATTTACTTACGCCCATAAATGTAGATGTATCTTCGTTTGGACGCACAAACTTATTATTTTCTTTCACATTTTGCAGATATTCTTGACATTTAGCTTTTGTTTGTTGCTTGTCAGGATTTTTGATATCGCTCTTATCTATTTCTGACAAAAGACTGATTACTTTACTTCTTGGCGATTCAAACTTCCCTTGAGTCTTTACTTTTGGCGTTTTAATGCTGCCTCTCTTATTTCTAGTCAACGAATCTTCTATTATACATTCTCTTTCCTCTGTAGGACTTGTGATGTTTAAACTATTTGTAGACGTAGGACTTGTGATTTGTCTATCAACTGAGCTATATTTACTTACGCCAACAACTGTAGATGTATCTTCGTTTGGACGCACAAACTTATTATTTCCTTTCACATTTTGCAGATATTCTTGACATTTAGCTTTTGTTTGTTGCTTGTCAGGATTTTTGATATCGCTCTTATCTATTTCTGACAAAAGACTGATTACTTTACTTCTTGGCGATTCAAACTTCCCTTGAGTCTTTACTTTTGGCGTTTTAATGCTGCCTCTCTTATTTCTAGTCAACGAATCTTCTATTATACATTCTCTTTCCTCTGTAGGACTTGTAATGTTTAAACTATTTGTAGACGTAGAACTACTTTCAATTTTTCTTGTCACCAAACAGCTAGTATCTAGAATGGATGGTTCTGGTGAAGACTTAAAAGTTATTTCAGGTTTACAACCAGGATTAATAGATAAATCAGTCACCTTTGAAGTATCAAGTTCTTCGTCAGGGTGTGTATCTATTTCATTACGATATGGCACGATAGACTCGACTCCTCTTGTTAAATCTTCATTACTTGTCCGTCTTATGTACTGTTTAACAGTAATCTTTGGATATTCATGACTGTTTCCTATTTTGTCACCGTCGTTTGTCTGATCAGATATCCCTTTGTTATCGGTTGCAAACTTATTGAACTGTCGTATTCTGATTCTTGTGATCCCGATAGGTGAATCCGTGTTATTTACGTTATCTAAAACATGTTCGTCTGTATTATCATCATCCTTTTTGACATTGCATATATCTAATGTACGGTCATAATTGTCATCTTTTCTTAATTCCCTGTGTCTGATAGTAAAATCCTTTTTAGGCCTTAAATCTCTTTCATTTTCCATGAGACGATCTATTTGAGAAGAGAGCAGCTTTGAAAATGTACTTTGCAAAGATGATGTCATTTTGTCCAACTTGATTTCAACTGCATCCATCTTTTGATTCATGATTTTCGTTTCAATTGGTATATCCCCTGGAAAACAACGGTTCGTAGCTTTTGGGTATAAATATCTTCTTATTGCATTATCACCTTAGATCAAATGTTATTATATGCTTTGGAGTATAGATATACTTTATCATTTTTACTGACGGAATTTCATTTGTGGATTGGAGATTGAATTTTAAGTTGTGTTTGTTTATACTTCGCAATACATATACAAGAAAGAAAAGGGTTTGAACTTGAGGATGGGTTTGTAACGGTAGAAATGTTTTCCACTCAAACCAGTGTTCTACTGTCGAAATGACAGTGTTACTTACTGAAATAAGCTACGAGCTCTCGTTATAATTGCACTGAAATCAATCATGTATAAACTTATTTTCAAGATTTTATTTCTACCAGGCTAACAAAATATGTTTAAAGTAAATACTGAGAATTCGAAGAATAAAAATGAAGTTAATGAAAGATTGCGGTATCGGTCTATGTTGCTCATTTTTATATTATCGAGTTGAGCTGAATTGACTATATGTTTCAAAAGAATGACGGTATTAACGGTGATTGACCAACAGTTGATATTAGAAAATGATTTAGGATGCAATATTTATCTGTTTTAAATATAAAAGGACTGTCCCACTCTTTTTATACACTGAACGTCACAAGTAAATTCTGATGAATAGTTACAGAAATTACCTTAGGCCATGTGAGTTATTTATTATTCATTCTTAGTAAATTATAAAATTAAAACGAATTATTGCAAAATGTAAACTTATTTTGACTTTCACCTGTTCACTCACTATATACCCTTCGATGGGCATAATGTCACTTTAAGTAACTTTTGGACATTAAGGAATGTCCCGATCTATCTTCCGACTCAAGATAAGTTGGTTGGTCTGTAAAGGGCACATTTTCAAAAAATATTTCAAATATTGATAAAAACAATAGAAGCGTATCATTTACGTATCATTTGGATATTTTTACAAAATGTTTCTTGAACAAAAATGTTTATCTAGTTTTACATGATTTAATATGACATCTATATGATGAATTACTAATATTTTGTTCTAGAACATTTTATTATCAACATCCACATATACGACACCTTAGTGTAGTAACAGGTTAACTTCTATCAAATTATATCAGGAGTTAACCAGTTACTGCATTACTATAAACTAATTAAGACTTTGTATGTCCTAAATAGAAGTTTTAGAGAAATTTATATTTTTTATGTTTTTGTATAAAAACTAAATTAGAAGTTGCAAAGAAGTTCAGGTTAGGATTTTACTTAGGTCCTTATTAAGATTTTTTGTATCTCAACTCCTAATTATATTTATATGTCTAGTTGTAAGCCTTTCAATACTCCTTATTAAAACATCCTGTACCTCAATTTTATTATGGTTTTATATCATAAATATAATGCTCAAATGAAGAATTATCAATATTGTAAGTCCCTAAAAAAGAGATAAAAGATATTCAGCATGCTAAATTAGAAACTATTCGTCACTTATGCTGGCGTAGTGTAATAAAATAAATTTTGAGGAAGTAAAAAAGGTCATTCTCACTTGTTACATTAAAATTATTTCCATTATTCCATTGTTTGGTATGGATCGTTGAGGCGAAAGTGTACCTTTATTTTGTATAAAAAAGGTAACAAAATATCGACTTGTATAACAGGTTACTTCTATCGAGCTTACCCACGACAATATAAATCACTACAAATAAAAGTATTTATTACATACTTATAAATAAATAATGATGAAATAAAATGCGTATTTTCATTTACTGTATTTTAACTGTAAAATTCATTTTTCAGTGTAGTGAAACATATTTTACTGGTGTCTTGACGGGCAACTTTCATCTTGAGGTATGAAAATTATCATATTTCACTAATGGCCACTCGGTATTTATAGAAAAAAAAACTTTAATATCCTCTATTAATATATCGCTGATAATAAAAACTTATGAATATTTAACAGTGACAGTTTGCTGTCAAAGTTATTTGATTTCGCGTTTTTTACTCACACGATAGTAGAATATTCTTTTGAGAACACTGAGGAGGTTTACTTGCATTTCACTGCATGGCATTCCATAAGAATATTAGTGTGTCTGTGAGAGAAAATCTATTAAATACACTTGTTGAATCTTGAAGTGATGAATATCTACATGTATATGAATTTAAATATTTTTATGTAAAAATACATGATTCGATGATTTTACAAAAGATTTTGTCCATTTCATTTGTCAGCTGTTTAATATATTACTCTTAGACTACTATTCAACTTAATTTATTTAGGTTTCCGGCCCAACGTACAATATAGGTACATGCACAGGGACCCAGCACAGTGTTGGGATAGTGTAAAAAAGTAATTCTAGAAAAAAATATATACTGTATATATAATATATAGACAAGGGGTTGAACTCGCCAAATCGGCCGAATGTCACTAGTCCAGTATAAGTCAAAATTGCAAAGTCATTTTTACGTAAATCATATAAAGCTATATATCAAATTGCAGCTAAATGACATCACTAGACGTTGACAATAACATAAATGTCCCCACTTATACCGTTTTTGAACAACAAACCGATATTTCGGATAGAATATCGTATTTTTGCTAGGTCGGACACGATCGCGTAACCTGTCCCTACGCGATTTTCTACGTGTAAAAACACAATTTTAAACCATGTCATTGCCGTTTATGCAAACACTTCTGTACAGTTTGACGAGGGGACGCCACTTTTGCCTAATTTTGGTTAAAACACGTACAAATGTGTGCAAAACGACCCCTTAATGATCAACATTATTTTTTGTCCAATCACATTGTAGTATTTTTCAAATTTCTGCTTAGTCTAACTTTGGTTAATGTGTACTAACTAAATAAAATTCACCTAATCTGTTGTCTAACCGCAGTCTAACAAATTTCAATAATGCATTATATTAGGGAGGAGTTAGAGGTATGGTTGTAAAATGTCAAGGTTAGCAAAACAATGCCAACATAAAAAAAAATAGTCTCTAAATGTGAGGATACAATCAATTGATTTATTACATATATAATACATGTGGGGCACGCAGAGACAAACGATTACATAGTAACTTTTTTAAATCCTTTTAACTCTAAGAAAAATGTCTGTTATAAATTGCTGACTGTTTTAAACTTTATATTTTCTAGAAAGTGTAAACGAATCATTATTTTCTTTCACCTGATAGGAATGAACTGCTTTATCAAGAATACAATGATTACATTTTTTGGCTGGAAAACTCATTTTAAATGGACCCCCTCCACACTGAAAAAAGAACTGTTTTTCAAAGAGCAAATCAATAGGGATTTTAAATGTTAGTGAATAACTTCAAGCTAATAACGAATTTGTATCAATTAATAATCTCTAATGTATTTTTCTAACATTTTCCATTTATTTTAAAAGGATGAACTCATTTCATTAACTCCATTGTTTTTTTACCTAATTGCATCGTTTTCCTCACTGTTTTTTTTCCAGATATTTTATAGAAACATGATAGTCTTACTGTAGATAGAGGTATAAATTCTGTGACATTTCAGTACAAATTGTGCCTGATTATATGTTGAAAAGGTCATTTATTTAGCTTATCTAAATGTGACATGTTAGAAACTTGACAAGGTGTAGACATCTTGTAGAGCGAAAGGGCGGAGCTATCGTGATTTAGAGAAATGTCTTGTTTTTGGTGGAAAAAATAATGTTGATCATTAAATAGGTTAATGTTTAATAATATGCATTAACAAAAATAATTGGTCGCCTGCCTGCGGCAGGCTTGACCAATTATTTTTGTTAATACATATTATTAAACACTAACCTATACATAATACAACGGCATCACATCGTATGAATGATATTTTCACAAAATTAACCATAATTTGGAAATTTGGGAAATTATTATTGCCTGTTTATAAAATAAATGACAGAAAAATGATTTCAACGCAAACCGCGGTGGATTCGATTGCAACGCCCGATACTTGAGGGTTTTACTTGGTATAAGATGTTGTTTCTTGCCAAATATTTAAGTTCTAACAAGGAAAATGATTTTTTAAGCTTGCACTATAAACATGTAGATATATAAGGAAAACACATGACCCCGGGGCGGGGCCGGGCCAGTTTTGACCACAGTTCCATAATTTCAATCTTTCATAGACATCTACTAGAGTTTGATGATCCTTCGTGCTGTAGCACTTGGGATTTTAGAGAAAAATATTTGTAACGGTTATACAATACACATATAATTATAAGGAAAACCTATGAACCCCTGGGGCCGTGCCAGTTTTGACCCTTGAGATATAATCGATGTTATTTACCGCATAACAAAATTCTGGGTCTTGTATTTCACACAGGAGGAATTTTGTAATATGCATTTGGCCTTAGGCCTGAACCATTTGAGCTTTTAAGTCAAAGGGGGAGGGGTGGAGCGGGCACCAAATGATCATTCCCGTGTAGTTTGGTTAATATTCAGAGGAGATATTGATTAAAAAATTTGGTGACGACGCACGAGGAACGGCGACGGACGTCAGAGAGGGTCACAATAGCTCACCATGAGCACATGGTGCTCAGTTGAGCTAAAAAGCACACAAATTAATATGATAATTCACTATTTACGTACAGTCTGTGCTACATGACAAATAATTAGAAGTGTTAACAGAATTTATAGTGATTGTCGAAACATTGCCCAGTTTTCAACGGTGTCAAATTTTAACGTGTGGGTGGGTATTATAATTTAACAGGCAGGGGTCAGTTTTCAACGTTAAAAATGTTCAATAATCCATTGACACGGACTCATTGGTCATTTTACGACGGGTCAAAATTCAATGTTGTCTCTGTTAAAGGCCTTTAAAGGTCCGGTCAGTATTCATGGATGGCATTTATAATAAGTACATTCTACGATTCTATTTGAACAATGACTCAAAGTTTAAATTAAAGATATTTTGCAAAATAACGCACATTAAAACGAGAATATAAAACATTGTCAAATAATGTCATAAAGGTAATCATAAAATGATATACGTAAATGAAATGAT